GAAATAATTAAAAAGAAAAGGAAAGAAAAGAAAATTAAATTAAATTAAAAAATAAAATGATACATAAATATTTATACATAGAACAGTGCTGATAAAACATGTCTGCAATAAACTTTCTTTGTCTGTACCTGTAGAAATGTATTGGCTAGATGAAGTACAAATATTTGTACTTTCACCCTTAATATATACACTTTAAATATTAATAATATCTAAACTTACATGTTTGTTTGAAAATAACCATCAACCATTAGTCATTCACTTCAGAAACACTTGGAAGAACTCATAAGAATTCTTATAGTTTTTCACAGGGCCTTAGGCCTTGGGTGGTTCAACAAACACATGGACATCAAAAACTTTGAATCAACATGGTTTTATTGATTTGAGTGAATGAGTTGCTGTTGAAAATGTTTGTTCCTCTTATTGGCCTCTTTAAGACATAGTCTAATGTCTTTCAAGACATATCTCCAGCTGCACTGACTACAACCACAGACATTCTCAAATGGTTGAGGTGTTGTGGCTGCGGTCTGGACAACTGAAGATGGAGGCTGAGGCCTGAGAGGATTGTTTGGAGGACTAGGAGATGGCTGGTGTTTTGGCAGATGACAGGTGAAACTGATAGTTCCTCTGAGCATGAAGGACCTGACTCAGGCTCAGGTTGAGGCATCCCTACTCCTCCATGGAGGTCAATACCACCACAAATGCCATCTGAAGTATTGACAAGGCCCTTTCTTCCTCTGCTGTGAGAAGGGGAGAGTCATTGGTCCAACCAATTGTTTTTTTTAATTGCCATCCTCTGCAGTGCCCTCTTCCTTTTTGCCAGGCTTGCAAAGTCCTGCCACTTCTTGCAGACCTCCTTCCCTGATCTCTTAACACCCCTGGTTGCAGTTAATTTTGTAGCAAAGTCCTCCCATATGTTTTGTTTTTCCTTATTTGTATGGTGTCCTTTAAATCTGCTGAAAATTACATATTTGTTTTGCTCTACCTTTGCTTCTCCATAAGAAAATTAATTTAATCTTTTTGAAAGGTATTTTATTTCTAATCCACATCAGGTGACGACTATTCGGTATACAATTCTTCTATAAGGTAATATTTCAGCACTTGACAAACGGACAGCGACTCTGAAGTAGCACGTAGAACGTGTTCTTGCACGTTCATGTTAAAGGGGTCATAGGATGCCCATTTTCCCCTCTCTTCCGAGCTGCTCTCTGAGGGACTGTTTACTTTAGCCGCATTCATCATGAAACTTGCTAATTGGCACATTATTAGGAAAGGCAATTTGCAAAGATTCATTAAAAAAACCTCACACTCACTTCTTCTGTAGGTGAAGCTGGATCACAAATGATTCGCGCGAACATAGACACATTTATGTAGATCGGAAACGCATTCTCTTCAAAAACAAACGTAATCCACTGCGTCTTCAGCGGCTCAGATGCCGGGAGTAAATGACGACTGCTATGTTCATTATTACATCCAACAACAGAACACCTCAATCGCTTAGGAGTCATTCTTGTCTACATCTGCTCCGGCGGTGAAACAATGGCGGACTGATGACAGCTCACTCAGGGCGGGTCTAAGGTAAGACGCCAGTCCAGTCTGTGCTGAAACGCTACTGTCAATCAAACTATCGTGGGAGGGGCCTGTTTTTGTGACGTCACACAGACAAGCATCTGAGATCGGCTCGATTTGAGAAAGGGGTAAAGATTTGAGCAGATTAAAAAAAAAACACTGGGTGGATTTTTATCATTTTAGGGTGGTTGTGTACATACACTGCCAACACACATTTCAGTTCAAACAACTTGTAAAAGTGCATGTAGCATCATATGACCCCTTTAAGTGCATTTTTGGGAAACGCACGTGGAATTGCAGCGAGCGTTTGTAACCTCGCACGAAGAGCTCTTAAGAGCTAAGATCCTGGTTAGTAATAAGTGATTCAGTGTAATTCAGAGATTTAATGTCTTTTATCTTCAGTTGATTTTTTTTGTGCCTTTTGTTCCAACCAAAATTTAAAGTCTGACAGATCCAAGTTCTGTTAAGATTGACCAAAAATAACATATATCTGACACAAGTTGTGTAACTATAACACATTAGTGTGTAAAAGGTTTCAACAAATTTCACCCCGCTCGTGACGTCTCGCAGCTCCATTGGGCTGATTTGGCACGTGCTTCAGAACGCGGTCATGCAGGGGCGTTCCCAAAGCGATTCTTGACGCAGTGTCTGGTTCCCTCGGGGAACCATAGTTACATACCTAACCTAGAGACGTTTTGTCTGTTGTTGTATTAATGTAATTCACCAGACTTTATCTGCTACTTCATATCAGGATACGGGTTTGTGATGCACTGTGAGGGCAAATCATACTCAGCTTTTATTTTCATTTATTTAACTTATATTTTTGGTTTTATTTTACAGGTTTTGTATCGGGGTTATGAATGTGAATGTATGTACAAATATATGTCATCATGACCCTGTCTGGGTTTATTTTTTATTAAAAACTGACAGGTTGTCATTCAGTAATGACTTACAGTACTGTATTCCGCTTATTACACGGCTACTGACCAAATTATGTGGACATGATTGATTTGAGTTAAATTATTTATAGTATTAATTTATAACTAATTTATTTGTAAAAAATGTATAATGTACAAATCAATTGACCTAGCGCCAACACTGGAACAATATGGCAATAGTAATACTGAAGTCCTGATTTTCATTACAATCGATGAGCCACAAGAGAGCGCCAGTTGCGTTTGTATGAAACACGAGTCCGACTCCTTATTGGGATATGAGGGATGTGACAGTAGCGCCATCATTAAAATATAAGATTAATAAATATTTGACCGCTGAAAGCCGTGATTGACTATTTCAAGAATTATTCCAAATCTTATTCCTATTTTTTAGGTAAGTATTTAAAAATAATAATAATCTAAATGTATTTAAATATAACCTCGGAACCATTTTTGTGATCATTTTTTCACCATATTTGTTTATCACCACAACACAAAACTCAAAAATGGGTGTCAGATTACATTTAAATACACATTTAAATGTAATTTTAAAAGATTGGATGATGACTCCTGTGCTCTGTGTATGTGTCATCTCATGGCTTTTAATTATAACAAATTCTATATTTAGAAATATGTGGAAAAATAGTGGATGAATGCGATATACATGTGAAATGTACTTACAACTTTCAAAATAAATAGAATTAGTGTATTTTTCAACATTGTAAAGGTTTTTATTTTTTTATGCATGCAGGGTCCTGATAGATCATAGGCATTTGGTTATATATACATTTGTTCTTAAAATTATTAATGTTGTTATGATTGAAAAGGTTAAGAAAGCTGTTTGTGTGATGCCTTACTAAAATAAAAATTTCCTGTTAGCAGCTGCAGGACAATCTTGTCAGAACAGAAGTGATGATTAAGAATGAGATCTGAAATTATGCAGATAAAATGACTGTTGATTGATGTTGCTGCTGTTTTACATCTATACCTGTGTGTAAAGCACACAAGGATTTTCCTTTGAGTTACATGGAACTAAAGTGCATAAAGTGTAAATAAGTTTAACATTACCAACATTGCCCCTTAATTGAAAAGTGTAATATCAAATAAATTAATTATTTGGAAATCCAAAAATATTATAACATGTAAATATTGTAAACCTTACAGAAATCGTAAATAACATTTTTTTATCCATTAAACAATTCTGAAAATAAATTACATTAATCACAATTTAAGATCCTGTCTGTCCAGCAATACAGGCGCAATAAAATAAATAGTGTATTATAAAAGCTCTAAGATATCATAATCATTATGGAAAGTTAAATGTAAACTTTAAAGTACCACCATCACAATTTGGATTAGTAATATAAGTAATTAGTCATTTTCCTGATGTGTCTCGAGCTCTCTAGAAAAGGCTGTTTCGAGTGGTGTATTGTACATTGTATGACCGTCTTCTGGACCACCGTCTTCTTAATGCTGTACAGCAACCACACAGCAAACACTGAGGACAGAGAGAGAGCCTAGTTAGACTGGAATTAACCATATACATTTTTATATCAAATGTTATCACTAATCACTTCAATTATAATATGCATATTTCTTATTAAATCTTTATGAAACTTACACAAAGGAGAATCCAGCAAGGTACGAGGATGATGGCAATAGCACAGGGGACAATAATGGCCACAGCCCATGCTGCATTAGTGCCGTTATTTGTGATTGTAGTGCTCAGCACTGTGGAGTAAAAGGTGGTTCTTGTTGCAGCAGGTGTAGTTGTGGTAATAGTCTCTGTAGATGACAAGGTGTAAAATAATTCAGATAAAAAAAATCTCAAATAACTATAAAGCTAACAATAACATTTCTGTGCAGAAGAACATACCATTATTTTAATAATAATAATAATAATAATAATAAGGGCATTTTAAATACAAATTGTATCAGACTTACCAATTTATTTATAGTGTCCTGGATTAATTTATATGTGGTATCCCGGAGTTCAAGTTTCTGAGACATGGTAACATTGTTGATTTCAAATCCAAAATTCAGGGCATATGATGTATCAGAAGTTTCTTTAAAAAATAAATACATGAATTAATAATAATAATATATATTTGCTGATACTGTGTGCATACATCTTTTTACTACAATATACAATTTGTTTACTGGTGACTGAACAGAGAAGAGAAAACTCACTTGTGTAAGTAACATTCACAAAGCTCACAGGGGTACCTAAGCTTTGTGCCCTTAGTTCTCGTTTAGTTCTGAAACGTGCGGCCAGCAGAAAGTTTGCCAACTGTAATATTTTTGCCTCACTTGGTACAGGGCCCCGTGTGATAAATATGAGCCGAATGTGAATAATCACCCTCCCAATCCTGAAAAAGAAGGTAAAGAGGAATAATGGTGAGAGAGATAATGAATAAAATGTTTACCTTTTACACAATACAATTTATTCTTAAATTTTATACTTACACATTTGGTGTCTGTACAGGTTTCTGAGTTGTTTTATTCCCTGTTGGAGCTGGAGTTGTTAAGCCTGTAGTGCAAAAAATATTTTAGGACATATATTTAAGGAGAAGAAGAATGCATAAAATAAATCATAATCATAAATGTATATATTTACTATTAAAAAAAATATATATATATATATACATATATGTTGGAGCTGGAGTTGTTAAGCCTGTAGTGCAAAAAATATTTTAGGACATATATTTAAGGAGAAGAAGAATGCATAAAATAAATCATAATCATAAATGTATATATTTACTATTAAAAAAAAAATATATATATATATATATATACATATATGGATAATATATTTAAGACATGAAATAGTAGGCTAGTTAATAATGTTAAAGTGTCATACATTGAATTAATTTATCTCTATAATATGGAAAGAATACATACTATTCATAACTTTGAGAAGTCCTTGGAGGAAGTCACTGGGTGACTTGATGTCTTGTTGCCGGAAAATGTAGTCAATATCAGCAATGACCTCCATGGAATTTTTCCTGGGGGAAATTAAAGCAGTTTTTTTAACTCACTTGAAGCCACGTCATTGCTCTGATTAAAGTATAAAACAAAAAGTCATTACATACGTGAAATTGGCTTTGTTGAACTCAACAGAAGTGTCAGAGTCACTTAAGATCTGGTTCAGCTGAAGAATTTATTAATAAATACAGAGATTAATTGTTTTATGATCATATTTTAAGGTTAACGTGTCTTCTTAATTTCTTTCTAAAACATTCTCAAACCCACCTTTCTTTTTATGGAGTTTTGAATGAATGTGTAGTTGCCATCCCTGAGTTCAAGTTTCTCTCCCATTGATGGACTGTTGATCTCAAATCCACATTTGAGGGCATATGAATTATCAGCAATTTCTTAATAAGAACACAGTATATAACACTAATTAGTTGAGTATACATATAGGTGGTGAAATGTCATATTTATCCTCCTGCTCAAAATAGGAGAGTGATATATTGTAGCTTGGATAGGTAAAAAAAAAACAATAATAAATAAATATTTTTTATTTACAAAAATCATCATGCACTATAAAAAAAAATATTAAACTTTAATATCAATTAAACACTGTTACCAAATTTCTGATATGTGCAACTTTTAAGTGTAGTTTTAAATTTTATATTCACAGCAAGCAAATCTAAGCAGAAGAGAACAACTCACTCTCATAGCTGGCATTCACATAGCTCACAGGATCATTCAGGGTTTGTGCTGTGTCTTGTTTAGCTCTGAGATGTGGGGCCAGCAGTAAGTTGACCAAATGTTGAACATGGCTCTCACTTGGTATGGGGCCCCGTGTGATAAAAATGAGCCGAATGTAAAAAATCACCCTCCCAATCCTGAAAACGAACATTTAAATATAAGGAATCTACAGCATAGGTAATATAAATGATTTCCTTTTAATAAGACTGATTATTTTTCTTACAAAGTTGTAGTTTCTTTAGTGGTTGTAGATGTGCCTGGTTTTGCAAGGGTCGTTGTTATTAAGCCTGTAAAACAAAATTGATCACTGGATGAGAAACACATGGTAAATTATACAGTGAAAATGGCATGAACATCCATGACATATATATTGTTTTATTGTATCATTGGAATTGACATACTGTTCTGTAAATTAAGCTCCTTTAACAAAATGGTGGGTTGATCTTTGCTGTTAAAGATATATTCCATACTGCCCTCAATGTGGTTTTCTGTGCACCTAGAGGGAAATGTTTTGAAATGTTAAAAGGATAGAATGCAAAATAATAAATTGATTCTGAAATGGAAGTGGATATTAGGTGCAGTTTTGAAACAGCTTCAATTTTGAAATAGCTTCAGTCAATATGAGCAAAATAGATTAAGTACAAAACAGTTTAGGTCTTTTAAGGTTTGACTGTTTTATATACAAAAATGCTACAGTGAATTAACAATATGAATAAACATGATTCAAAAATGAAATCATCTTACTTGAATTTGGAGGACTTGGCTTTAAAAACCTGACGGCCAGGTTCATTCAGAAGTGTGTTCAACTGCAGAGTAATATCAACACATATTCATCATAAATGTGAGAGATCTGCATTAAAACCAAACTTATATATATATATATATATATATATATTGGGTGAACTATAAATGCTTACCACATTATTGATAACATTCTGCAGGTGCTGATAGGTGTTGTTCTTTAGCTCAGGGTCCTCTGGTATACTAATGTCAATCAGGTTAAATGTAAAGATGATTGCATAGGAGGTCTCTGAGATATCTGTTTGAAGGGAAATATATGGATTGTCTCTTGGCTTCACATTAACATTATAGTCGGCACATTCATATTTCAAAAACTTTTCAACTCAAAACAATGAAACTTACTCTTATAGGTGACATTCAGCACTTGAACTGATTTGTTGGGCTGTGAATCTCTGGATTTGAGAAGAGTGTTGATAACACTGAGGACCTGAGTTTCTCTGGGGACTGGAGATGCGGAGTTGAACTGTAGTTTGCTTGTAACCAGTGCTGAACCAGTTCTGTTCATTAGAGGTAAACTTGTTTTGCCAAGGACTGCTGTAGATGTTGGGAAGTGCATTGTAGGATTATTTTCTGTCTGAGAATTAGTCAAAGCTGTTGTTGTAAACCCCGGAAATGTTGTTGTATTTAAATTAGATGTAGCTTGTGATTGTGCTGTCGTTGGCTCTTCCACCAATGTTGAGGAGGACATTCTGGTTGTAATTGTTTCTCTACTAGTTGTTGTGATTTTAGAATTAGGTGTGGTTGTTGAATAAGTTATATCTGTATTTAATGCACCAAAGGTAGTAATTTTCATCTCAGACATTGTTGTGCTTGTTGGATGAATATTTGTGGATGATGTTGTCACTGACTCCTCCACCAAAGTTGGAGGGGTTGTGGTGCTTGTGGGGGTCAAAGTTGTAGCTTTTTCACCAATACTTGTATTGATTTCAGGCATAGTTGTAGATTCTGGATGAGTTGTGGTGTTTTGTGTGATAGTTGAGAATGTTGGAGGAGCTACTGTGGTTTTGAGACCCAAGATTATAGTTGCCTCACCTATAGTTGCTGTTGGAAGTGTATTTGTGCCAGCCAAAGTTGTTGTTGCACCAGTAGTTGTTACTGGAAGTAATGTTGTTGTTTCAAACATAGTTGTGGTTGTTGATTCAGTTGTCGATAAGGGTGCTGAAGATGAGAATGATGGAGGAATGCTTGTGTTGGCGATATTTGCTGTTGTTGCACCAATAGTTGTGGTTGCTGCATCAGATGTCCACACTGGTTCTAGAAGTGATGATGTTGGAGGGGTGCTTGTTGTAGTCAAAGTTGTTGTTGCACCAATAGGTGTTGTTGGTAGGACTGTTGTTGTTTCAGGCATAGTTGTGGTTGCTGCATCAGTTGTTGGTACTACAGATGAGGATGCTGGAGGGGTAATTTTGGCAGCCAAAGTTGTTGTTGTTGCACCAGTTGTTGTTGCTGAAAGTATTGTTGCTGTTTCAGGAGAAGTTGTAGTTGCTCTATCAGTTGTCAACAAGGGTGCTATATTTGATGATGTTGGAGGGATGGTTGTGGCAGCCAAAGATTGTTCTATAGTTAAGGATGTTGGAGGTGTGGCCAAAGTTGTAGTTGTCTCAACAATACCTGTTACTGGAAGGGCTGTTGTGGTTTCAGCCATTGTAGTTGTTGTAGGATTGTTTTTTGTTGTGGAAACCAAAGATTTAGTTGCCTCAACAATAGTACCATTTGTTAGAAGTGCTGATGTTGTTTCAGGCACAGTTGTGGTTGGTGCATCAGTTGTCGACGTTGGTGCTACAGTGGAGAATGTTGAAAGGGTACTTCCGGTAGCCAAAGTTGTTGTTGTTGTTGCACCAATCGTTGTTGGAAGTACCACTGTTATTTCAGGCATAGCTGTGGTTGCTGAATCAGTTGTCAACAGTTGTGCTACTGTTGAGGATGTTGGAGGAGTGCTTGTGTTAACCAAATTTGCTGTTGTTGCACCAATGGTTGTTGTGGTGTCAGGTATAGTTGTGTTTCGTGCTATAGCTGAGGATGTTGAAGGAATGCTAGGTGTAGCCAAAGTTGTTGTTCTTGCACCAATATTTATTGTTGTGTCAGCTATAGTTGTGGTTGCTGCATTAGTTGTTTGTGCTATAGCTGAGGATATTGGAGGGGTGCTTGTGGTAGTCAAAGTTGTTGTTGTTGCACCAATTGATGTTGTGGTGTCGGGGATAGTTGTGGTTTGTGCTATAGCTGATGATGTTGGAGGAGTGCTTGTGGTAGACAAAGTTGTAGTTGCACTAATATTTGTTATGGAGTCAGGTATAGATGTGGTTTCTGCATCAGGTGTCAATGTTGGTGCTACAGTTGAGGATGTTGCAGTGGTGCTTGTGTTGGCCAAAGTTATTGTTGTTACACCAATAGATGTTGTAGGTTCAGGAATAGTTGTAGTTGCTCCATCAGTTGTCAACATTGGTGCAACAATTGAAGATGTTGCAGGGGTGCTTGTGTTAAACAAAGTTGTTGCTGTTGCACTAATAGTCCTTGTGGGAAGGTCAGCTGAAGTTTCAAGCATAGCTGTGGTTACTGCAAAAGATGCTGACAATGGTGCTACAGTTGAGGATGTTGGAGGGGGGCTTGTGTTAACTAAATTTGTTGTTTTTGTGGTTTTAGGCTTAATTGTGGTTGCTGCATTAGTTGTTTGTGCTATAGCTGAGGATATTGGAGGGGTGCTTGTGGTAGTCAAAGTTGTTGTTTTTGAACCAATATTTGTTGTGGTGTCAGCCATAGTTGTGGTTGCAGCATCAGATGTCGACACTGGTGCTAGAACAGATGATGTAGACAAAGCTGTTGTTGCACCAACAATTGTTGCTGGAAGGACTTTTTTTGTTTCAGGAATAGTTGTGACTGCCGCATCAGTAATCAAAGTTGGTGCGAAAGAAGAGGATGCTGGCGGGGTACTTGTGGTAGTCAAAGTTGTTGTTTTTGAACCAATATTTGTTGTGGTGTCAGCCATAGTTGTGGTTGCAGCATCAGATGTCGACACTGGTGCTAGAACAGATGATGTAGACAAAGCTGTTGTTGCACCAACAATTGTTGCTGGAAGGACTTTTTTTGTTTCAGGAATAGTTGTGACTGCCGCATCAGTAATCAAAGTTGGTGCGAAAGAAGAGGATGCTGGAGGGGTACTTGTGGTAGTCAAAGTTGTTGTTGCAACAATAGTTGTTTTTGAAAATACCATTGCTGTTTCAGGCAAAGTTGTGATTGTTGCATCAGATGTCGTTGTTGGAGCTAGAACAGATAGTGTAACCAAATTTGTTGTTGCACCAAAAGTTTTTGTTGGAAGTACTGTTTCTGTTTCAGGCATAGTTGTGATTGCTGCATCAGTTGTCAATGTTGGTGCTACAGATGAGGACGTTGGAGGGGTACTTTTGGCAGCCAAAGTTGTTGCTGTTGCACTAATAGTTGTTTTTGAAAGTACTGTTGTTGTATTAGGTGAAGTTGTGGTTGCTGCATCAGTTGTTGATTTTGGTGCTATATTTGAGGATGTTGAAGGGGTGGTTGTGGCAGTCAAAGTTTGTGCTATAGTTAAGGATGTTGGAGATGTGGCCAAAGTTGTTATTGTCTTGCCAGTAGCTGTATTTGGAAGATCTGTTGTGGTTTCAGCCACAGTAATTGTTGTAGGATTGTTTGTTTTTGTGGAAACCAAATTTCTAGTTGTCTCAACAATAGTAGCATTTGTTAGAAACACTGTTGTTATTTCAATTTTTGATGTTGGTACTATAGATAAAAATGCTGGAGGTGTACCTTTGGCAGCCAAAGTTGTTGTTGCACCAATAGTTGTTATTGGAAGTACTGTTGTAGATTCAGTCATAGCTATGGTTGCCGCATCAGTTGTTGATGATGGTGCTACAGTTGAGGATGTTAGAGGGGTGGTTGTGTTAACCAAATTTGTTGTTGTTGCACCAATAGTTGTGGTGTCATGCATACTTGTGGTTCGTGCTATAACTGAGGATGTTGGAAGAGTGTTAGTGGTAGCCAGAGTTGTTGTTGTTGCACCAATATTTGTGGTGTTGTCAGCCATAGATGTTGCATTAGTTGTCGACATTAGTGCTACAGACGTTGCAAGGGTGCTTGTGGTAGCCACAGTTTTTGTTGTTGCGCCCAAAGATGTTGTGAGATAAGGCATAGTTGTGGTTGTTGCATCAGTTCTATTGGTTGGTCCTGTAGTTGAAAGTGATGTAGTAGTCAAAGTTGACTCACCAGTAACTCTTGGAAGTGTTGTGGTCTCAGCTACAATAGTGGTTGTTGAATCATTTGTAGTCAATGTTGTTTCAGAAGCCAAAGGTTTAGCTGTGACAGCAATAACTGTAGTTGGAAGTGCTGTTATTGTTTCAGGCTTAGTTGTAATTGTTAAATGGATTTTACTGGTTGGTGTTGTCATCATGATTGTGGGAGCCAAATTTAAAGTTGCCTCACCAATAGTTGCAGGTAGAATCGTTGTTGTTTCCCCCACATTAGTGTTTGTTGGTTGATTTGATGTTGTGGAAATGACAGTCGCAGTTGTCTCACCGGTAGTTGTCAATGTTACTGGAAGTGGTGTTGCAGTTTCTGTCAGTGTAGTGGCTGTTGGATGATTTGTTGTCAGTGTGGTTTCAGAAGCCAAAGGTGTAGTTGCCTGGCCAATAGCTACAGTTGTAATTGCTGTTGGGGTTTTACCTACAGTAGTTGTTTTAGTATGGTTTGTAGTTGTCTCAACAATAGTAGAAGTTGTTGAAAGTGTTTTTGTGGTTTCATTCATAGTTGTAGTTATTGAATAAACTGTAGTGGTTGGCGTTGTTGTTGACTTCTCCACTACTGTTTGAGGAGACGTTGTGATTGTGGGAGCCAAAAATGTAGTTGTCTCACCAATAGTTGTGGATGGAATTGTTGTGGTTTGCGACATAAAAGTTGTTGGATGATTTTCTGTTATTTTCGGAATCAAAGTTGCAATTTTCCCACCAATAGTTATAGGTGAAATGTCATGTATAGTTGTGGTTACTGCATCAGATGTCAACATAGGTGCTATATATGTGGATGCCAGAGGGGTGGTTGTGGCAGCCATAGTTGTTTTTGATGCACCGATAGTTTTGTCAGGCATAGTTGTGTTTGCTGCATCAGTTATTGAAGTTGGTGAAATAGCTGAAGATGTTAGATGTGTGCTTGTGGTTGTGCCAGTTGTTTTTGTGGTTTCAGGCATAGTTGTGGTTGCTGAATTAGTTGTTGACATTGATGCTACAGTTGAGGATGTTGGAGGTATGCTTGTGATAGCCAAAGTTGTTTTTGTTACACCAATAGCTGTTGTGGTGTCAGGCATAGTTGTAGACACTACATCAGTTGAAGTGGTTGGTCCTGTAGTTGAAAATATTGTGGTTGTGTTAGCCAAAGCTGTAGTTATTGTGTCTATAGTTGTTGTTGGAAGTGTTGTGGCTTCAGGCACAATAATGGTTTTTGGATGACTTGTAGTCAGAGTGGTTTCAGAAGCCAAAGTTGTATTTGTTTTAACAGCAGCTGTCATTGGAAGTGTTGTTTTGGATTCAGCCACAGCAATTGTTGTAGGATTGATTGTTGTGGAAGCCATATCTGCAGTTGTCTCAACAATAGTAGCAGTTTTTGTAAGTACTGTTGTTGTTTCAGGCATATTTGTGGTTGCTGCTTTAGTTGCTGAAGTTGTTGCTATAGTCAAGGAAGTTGGAGGCGTGCTAGACAAAGTTTTTGCTGTCACACCAGTAGTTGTTGTGGTTTCAGGCATAATTGTGGTGGCTGCATCAACTGTCGATGTTGGTGCTAAAACTGATATTGGAGGGGTGCTTGTGTTAGGTAACTTTGTTGTCGTTGCACCAATATATGAAGGGGTATAAGACATAGTTGTGGTTGCAGTATCAGTTGTTAAAGATGGTGCTAAAGTTGAGGATGTTACAGGTGTGCTTGTCATAGACAAAGTTGTTGTTGTTGAACCAATAATTGTTGTTGGAACTTTTGTTTTTGTTTGAGGCATAGTTGTGTTTGCTGTATCCGTTGTCAACACTGGTCTTATAATTGAGGATGTGGGAGGGGTGGTTGTGGCAGCCAGAGTTGTTGTATTTGCACCAAAAGTTGTTGTAGGTTCAGGCATAGTTGTGGTTGCTACATTAGATGAGGACTCTGGAGGGGTGCTAGTGGTAGCCAAGGTTGTTGTTTCATGACTAGTTGTTGTTGGAAGTACTGTTGTTGCGTCAGCAATAGTTGTCATTGCTGAGTCACTTGTCAACATCTGTACTATGGTTGTGGATGTTGGATTAGTGGTTTTGGAAATAAAAGTTGTTGTTGTTTCAATAATTGTTGTGGTGAAAGGCTTGAGGATAGCTGAGGATATTTGAGGGGTTCTTGTTGTTGCACCAATAGTGGTTGTGGATTCAGGCATAGTTTTAGTTGCTGAATCAGTTGTCAATGTTGGTGCTACATTTGAGGATGTTGGAGTGGTGCTTGTGGTAACCAAAATTGTTGTTGTTGCACCAGTAGTTGTTTTTGGAAGTGCTATTGTGTTGTCAGGCATAGGTGTGGTTGCTAATCCAGTTGTCGACATTGGTGCTACAACTGAGGATGCTGAAGGGGTGCTTGAGGTACCCAAAACTGTTGTGGTTTCAGAAATAATTATGGTTGATTCATCACTTGTTGTTGCTATAGATGAGGAGTTTAGAGGGATGATTGTGCTAGCCAAAGTTGTTGCTGCATCAGTTGTCTGCATTGGTGCTACAGTTGAGGATGTTGGAGGGATGCTTGCGCTAAACAAAGATGCTGTTGTGTCTGGCATTGTTGTGGTTGCTGCATCAGTTGATGATGCTGGTGCTATAGTTGAGGATATTTGAGGAGTGGTTTTGGAAGTCAAATTTGTTTTTGTTTCTGTGGTGTCAGAGAGAGTTGTGGTTGCCACTTCAGTTGTTGTTGACACTGGTGCCACAGTTGAAGATGTTGAAAGGGTGGTTGTGCTAGCTAAAGTTGTTGCATCAATAATTGATGTAAAGTCAGGCATAGTTGTTGTTCCATCAGTTGTCGATGTTGGTACTGCAGTTGAGGATGCTACAGAAGTAGTTGTGGAAGCCAAAGTTGTTATCGCGTAAATAGTTTTTGTGGTGTCAGGCATAGTTGTGTTTGTTGCATGAGTTGATGAAGCTGGAGGGGTGGCTGTGGAAGCCATACTAGTTGTTGCATCAACAGTTGTTGTTCTGTCAGACATAGGTATGGTTGCTGCATCAGTTGTCAATGTTTTTGCCACTGTTGAGGATTCTGGAGGAGTGGTTGTAGAAGCCAAAGTTGTTGCATCAGTAGTTTTTGTGGTGTCAGGAATAGTTGTTGTTACTGCATCAGTTGCTGATGCTGGTGCTACAATTGAGGATGTTGGAGGGTTGGTTGTAGAAGCCAAAATTATTTTTGCATCAGTAGTTTTTGTGGTGTCAGGCAGAGTTGTTGCTGCATCAGTTGCTGATGCTGGTGCTACAGTTGAGGATGTTGGAGGGGTGGTTGTGGAAGCCAGAGTTGTTGCATCAATAGTTATTGTGGTGTCTGGCACAGTTGTGGTTGCTGCATCTGTAGTTGACGCTGGAGCTATAGTTGAGGATGTTGGAAGGGTGGTTGTGGAAGCCAAATTTGTTATTGTATCAGTAGGTGTTGTTGTGTCAGGCATACTTGTGGTTGCTGCATCAGATGTTGTTGACCTTGGTGCCATAGTTGAGTATGTTGAAAAGGTCGGTGTGGTAATCAAAGATGTTGTTGCAACAGCAGCTGTAGTGGTGTCAGGCATCGTTTTGGTTACTGCATCAGATGTCAACATTGATGCGGCGGCTGAGAATGTTGATGGCATGGTTGTGGAATCCAAAATTGTTATTGCATCAATAGTTGTTCTTCTGTCAGAAATAGTTGTGGTTGCTGCATCAGTTGTCAACGATTGTGCTACAGTTGAGGATGCTGGAGGAGTGATTGTGGAAGCCAAAGTTGTTGTTGCATCAGTAGTTGTTGTGGTGTCAGGCATGGTTGTTTCTGCTAGATCAGTAGTTGACACTGGTGCTATAGTTGAGGATGTTGGAGGGGTGGTTTTGGAAGCCAAATTTGTTTTTGCATCAGTAGTTCCTGTGGTGCCAAGCATACTTGTGGTTGATGCAACATTTGTTGTTGACATTGCTGCCACAGTTGAGGATGTTGGATGGGTGGTTGTGGAAGCCGAAGTTGTTGCTGCGTAAATATTTGTTGTGGTGTTAGGCATAGTTGTGGTTGTTGCATGACTTGTTAACGCTGGAGGGGTGGTTGTGGAAGCCAAAGTTGTTTCTGCATCAATAGGTTTTGTGGTGTCAGGCATGGTTGTTGTTGCTGCATTAGTTGTCAACATTTGTGCCACAGTTGAGGATGCTGGAGGAGCTGTTGTGGAAGCCAAAGTTTTTGTTGCATCAGTAGTTTTTGTGGTGTTAGGCATAATGGATGTTGCATCATCAGTTGTTGACACTGGTGCTACAGTTGTTGGTTTTGGTACTGCAGTTGAGGATGTTGGAGGGGTGGTTGTGGAAGCTATAGTTGTTGTTGCATCGATAGTTGTTGCGGTGTCTGGCACAGTTGTGGTTGCTGATGTTGGTGCTTCAGTTGAGGATGCTGGATGGTTGGTTGTGGAAGACAAAGATGTTATTGCATCAGCAGCTGTGGCGGTGTCATGCATCGTTTTGGTTGCTGCATCAGATGTCAACATTTTTGCTGCAGCTGAGAATGTTGATGATACTGTTGTGGAATCCAAAATTGTTATTGCATCAATAATTGTTGTGGTGTCAGGCATAGTTGTGATTGCTGCATCAGTTGTTGAAACTGGTGTTACAGTTGTTGACGTTGGCACTGCAGTTGAGAATGTTGGAGGGGTGGTTGTGGAAGCCATAGTTGTTGTTGCATCGATAGTTGTTGTGGTGTCAGGCATAGTTGTGGTTGTTGCATGAGTTGTCAATGTTTGTGCTACAGTTGAATATGTTGGAGGGGTGGTTGTTGAAGCCAAAATTGTATTTGCATCAGTAGGTTTTATGGTGTTAGGCATAGTTTTTGTTGCTGCATCAGTAATTGATGCTGATGCTATAGTTGAGGATGTTGGAAGGGTGGTTGTGGAAGCCAAAGTTATTGTTGTATCAGTAGGTGTTGTTGTGTAAGGCATACTTTTGGTAGATGCATCTGCTGTTGTTAAATTTGGTGCCACTGTTGAGGATGTTGGAAAGGTGGATGTAGAAGACAAAGTAGTTGTTGCATCAACAGCTGTTGTGGTGTCAGGCATAGTAGTGGTTGGTGCATCAGTTGTTGTCATTGGTACTGCAGTTGAGGATTTTGGAGGAGTGTTTGTGGAAGCCAAATTTGTTGTTGCATCAATACTCATTGTGGTGTCAGGCATAGTTGTAGTTGCAGCATCAGTTGTTGACGTTGGAGGGGTGGTTGTTGATGCCAAAGTTGTTGTAGCATTAGTAGTTGTTGTGGTGTCAGACAGAGTTGTGGTTGATGCACCAGTTGTAGTTGACATTTGAGCTACAGACAAGGATGTTGGACGAGTATTTGTGGAAGCCAAATTTGTTGAGTCAATAATTGTTCTGGTGTCAGTCAAAGTTGTTGTTGCTGCATCAGTTGTCAATGTTGATGCTGCGGTTGAGGATGTTGAAGGCATGGTTGTGGAAGCCAAAATTGTTGTTGCATCAATAGTTTTTGTGAAGAAATGCATGTTTATGGTTGCTGCGTCAGTTGTTGATTTTGGAGGCGTGGTTGTTGAAGCCAAAGTTGTTATTGCATCAATACTTGTTGTGTTGTCAGACAGAGTTGTGGTTGATGCATCAGTTGTTGACGCTGGTGCTAAGGTTGAGGATGTTGGAGGGGTGGTTGTGGAAGCCAAAGTTGTTGGTTCAATAGTTTTTGTGGTGTCAGACAGGGTTGTGGTTGCTGCATCAGTTGTTGATGTTGGTGCTAAGGTTGAGGATGTTGGAGGGGTGGTTGTGGAAGCCAAAGTTGTTGGTTCAATAGTTTTTGTGGTGTCAGACAGGGTTGTGGTTGCTGCATCAGTTGTTGATGTTGGTGCAATACTTGAAGATGTTAAACCAGTGTTTGTGAATGCCAAAGTTGTAGTTGCATCAATAGTTGTTGTGGTGTCAGGTATAGCTGTGGTTGATCCATTATTTGTTGTTGTTGCATAAATTGTTTTTGTGGTGTCAGTCAGAGCTTTGGTTTCTGCATCAGTTGTTGATGATTGAGGGGTGGTTGTGGAAGCCAAAGTTATTGTTGCATCAGAAGTTGTTGTGGTGTCAGGCAGAGTTGTGGTTGATGCATCAGTTGCTGTTGTTGGCACTACAGTTGAGGATGTTTTAAAAATGATTGTGGAAGCCAAAGTTGTTGTTGCATCTATAGTTGTTGTGGTATCAGATCGAGTTGCCGTTTCTGCATCAGTTATTGTTGACATTGGTGCCACAGTTAAAGATTTTGAGAGGGTGGTTGTGGCAGCTAAAGCTGTTGTTGCATCCATAGTTGTTGTGGTGTCAGGAATAGCTGTGGTTGCAGCATCAGTTGTTGACGTTGGTCCTATATTTGAGGATGTTGAAGGGGTGGTTCTGGCAGATAAGGTTGTTGTTGCATCAATTGTTGTTGTGGTGTCAGGCATAGTTGTGGTTGCTGCATCAGTTGCTGATGCTGGCGCTACAGTTGAGGATGTTATAGGAGTGATTGTGGAAGCCAAAGTTGTTGTTGAATCTATAGGTGTTGTGGTATCAGATAGAGTTGTCTTTGCTGCATCAGTTGTTGTCAACATTGGTGGCAGAGTTGAAGATGTTGAAAGGGTGGTTGTGGCAGCTAAATTTGTTGTTGAATCGATAGTTGTTGTAATGTCAGGCATAGTTGTTTTTATTCTATTAGTTGTGGATGTTGGTGCTGTAGCTGAGGATGTTGGAGTTGTGGTTGTGGAAGCCAAAGTAGTTGTTGCATCAATAGTTGTTGTGGTCTCTGGCATAGCTGTGGTTGCTGCATCAATTGTTGATGCTTGTGCTACAGTTGAAGATGTTGGAGGAGTGGTTGTGAAAGCCAAAGATGTTGATGCATCAATAGTTATTTTGGTGTAAGGCACAGTTGTGGTTCCAACAGTTGTCGTTGTGGTGTCAGACAGAGTCGTGGTTGATGCATCAGTTGTTGCTGACGCTGGTGCTATAATTGAGGATGTTGGGGGGCTGGCTGTGGAAGCCAAAGTTGCTGTTGCGTAAATAGCTTTTGTGGTGCCATGCATAGTTGTGATTGCTGCATCAGTTGTTGAAATTGGTGCAATATTTGAGGATATTGAAACAGTATTTGTGAAAGCCAAAGTTGTAGTTGCATCAATAGTTGTTGTGGTGTCAGGTATAGTTGTGGTTGCTGCATCAGTTGTTGACGTTGGTGCTATAGTTGAGGATTTTGGAGGGGTGATTGTAGAAGCCAAAATTGTTGCATCAATAGTTGTTGTGGTGTCAGGCATAGTTGTGGTTGATGCATCAGTTGTTGACATTGGAGATGTGGCTGTAAAAGCCAAAGTTGTTGTTACATCAGACGTTTTTGTGGTGTCAGACAGAGTTGTTGTTTCTGCATCAGTTGTTTTTGACATTTGTGCCACAGTTGAAGATGTTGAAAGTGTGGTTGTGGTAGCTAAAGTTGTTGTTGCATCAATAGTTGTTGAAAAGACAGTCATAGTTGATGTAATTCCATCATTTGTCAACATTAGTACTGTAGCTGAGGATGTTGGAGGGATGGTTGTGGTAGTCAAAGATGTTGATGCATCAGTAGTAGTTGTGGTGTCAGGCAGAGTTGTGGTTGATTCATCGGCTGTTGTTGACGTTGGTGCTCCAGTCGAAGATTTTGGAGGGGTGTTTGTGGAAGTCAAAATTGTAGCATCAGTAGTTTTTGTGGTGTCAGGCAGAGTTGTGGTTGCTGCTTCAGTTGTTGAAATTGGTGCAATACTTGAGGATATTGAAACAGTGTTTGTCAAAGCCAAAGTTGTAGTTGCATCAATAGTTGTTGTGGTGTCAGGTATAGATGTCATTGCTGCATCAGTTGTTGACGTTGCTTCTACAGGTGAGGATTTTGGAGGGGTGGTTGTGGAAGCCAAAATTGTTGCATCATTAGTTGTTGTGGTGTCAGACAGAGTTGTGGTTGATGCATCAGTGGTTGACATTAGAGAGGTGGTTGTGGAATCCAAAGTTGTTGTTGCATCACTAGTTGAAGTTGATGCAACTATTGTTGTTGCTGGTGCTACAGTTGAGGATGTTGTAGGAGTAATTATGGAAGCCAAAGTTGTTGTTGCATCCATAGTTGTTGTGGTGTCAGGAATACTTGTGGTTGCTGCATCAGATGTTGGTGACGTAGTTCCCAAAGTTGAGGATGTTAAAAAGATCGTTGTGGTAGCCAAATATGTTGGTGCATCAGTAGTTCTTGTGGTGTCAGGCATAGTGTTCGTTGATGCATCAATTTCTGTTGATGTTGGTGCTACTGTCGAAGAGGTTGGAGTGGTTGTTGTGAAAGCCACAGTTGTTGTTGTATCAAAAGTAATTGTGGTGTCAGGCAGAATTGTGGTTGATGCATCATGTGTTGTTGATCTTGTGGTAGCCAAAGTCTCTGTTGAATCAGCAGCTGTTGTGGTGTAAGGCATCGTTGTGTTTGCTGCATCAATTGTTAACGTTGGAGGGGTGGTTGTGGAAGCCAAAGTTGTTGTTGCAGCAATAGATGTTGTGGTGTCTGGCATAGTTGTGGTTCCTGCATCAGTTGTTGACAGTGGTGCTATAGTTGAGGATGTTGTGGGGGTGGTTGTGGAAGCCAGACTTTTTGTTGCATCATAAGTGCTTGTGGTGTCTGGCAGAGTTGTGCTTGATCCATCAGTTGTTGTTGACGTTGGTGCAACAGTTGAAGATGTTGGAAGGGTGGTTGTGGAACTCAAAATTGTTCCATCAGTTATTTTTGTGGTGTCAGAAAGGGTTTTGGTTGCTGCATCAATTGTTGACATTGGTATAATACTTGAGGATGTTGGAAAGGTGGCTGTGAAAGCCAAAGTTGTAGTTGCATCAATAGTTGTTGTGGTGTCAGGTATAGTTGTGGTAGCTGCATCAGTTGTTGACGTTGGTTCTATAGTTAAGGATTTTGGAGGGGTGGTCTTGGAAGCCAAATTTGTTGCATCAGTAGTTGTTGTGGTGACAGACAGAGTTGTGGTTGATGCATCAGTGGTTGACATTAGAGCGGTGTTTGTGGAATCCAAAGTTGTTGTTGCATCAATCGTTGTTGTGGTGTCTGACAGAATTGTTGTTGATGCATCAGTTGTTATTGACACTGGTACTATAGTTGAGGATGTTTGTGTGCTGGTTGTGGAAGCCAAAATTGTTGTTGAGTAAATAGCTTTTGTGGTGTCGGGCATAGTTGTGTTTGCTGCATCAGATGTTGAAAGGGTGGTTGTGGTAGCTAAAGTTGTTGGTGCATCAGTAGTTGTTGTGGTGTCAGACAGAGTTGTAGTTGCTGCATCAGATATTGTTGCCGTTGGTGCCACAGTTGAGGGTGTTGGAAAGGTGGTTGTGGTAGCCAAAGATGTTGTTGCATCAGTAGTTGTTGTGGTGTCATGCGGAGTTGTGGTTGATTCATCAGCTATTGTTGACATTGGTGCAACAGTCGAAGACGTTGGAGGGGTGTTTGTGGAAGTCAAAATTTTAGCATCAGTAGTTTTTGTGGTGTCAGACAGAGTTGTAGTTGCTGCATCGGTTGTTAAAATTGGTGCAATACTTGAGGATATTGAAACAGTATTTGTGAAAGCTAAAGTTGTAGTTGCATCAATAGTTGTTGTGGTGTCAGGTATAGGATGTTGGAGCGGTGGATGTGAGAGCCAAAGTTGTTGTTGTATCAATAGCTGTTGTGGTGTCAGGCATAGTTGTGGTTGCTGCATCAGATGTTGATGCTGGCGCTATAGTTGTCAATGTCAGAGGTGTGCTTGTGGAAGCCAAAATTGTTGTTGCATCAGGTGTTGTTGTTGTGGTGTCAGACAGAGTTGTGGTTGATGCATCAGTTGTTGTTGACGCTGGTGCTATAGTTGAGGATGTTGGGGTGCTGGTTGTGGAAGCCAAAATTGTTGTTGCGTAAATAGCTTTTGTGGTGTCGGGCATAGTTGTGGTTGCTCCATCAGATGTTGACACTGGAGGGGTGATTGTGGAAGTCAAAGTTGTTGTTGTTGCATCTATAATTGTTGTGGTGACAGGCCTTGTTGTGGTTGCTGCAACAGCTGTTGACATTGGAGATGTGGTTGTAAAAGCCAAAGTTGTTATTACATCAGACGTTTTTGTGGTGGCATCTATAGTTGTTGTGGTTTCAGGCATTGTTGTGGTTGCTGCAACAGTTGTTGACATTGGAGATGTGGATGTAAAAGCCAAAGTTGTTGTTACATCAGAAGTTTTTGTGGTGTCAGACAGAGTTGTTGTTTCTGCATCAGTTGTTTTTGACATTTGTGCCACAGTTGAAGCTGTTGAAAGTGTGGTTGTGGTAGCTAAAATTGTTGTTGCATCAATAGTTGTTGAAAAGCCAGGCATAGTTGATGTAATTCTATCATTTGTAAACACTGGTACTGTAGCTGAGGATGTTGGAGGGGTGGTTGTGGAAGCCAAAGTTGTTGTTGCATCAGTAGTTGTTGTGGTGTCAGACAGAGTTGTAGTTGCTGCATCAGATATTGTTGCCGTTGGTGCCACAGTTGAGGGTGTTGGAAAGGTGGTTGTGGTAGTCAAAGATGTTGTTGCATCAGTAGTTTTTGTGGTGTCAGGCAGAGTTGGGGTTGCTGAATCAGTTGTTAAAATTGGTGCAATGCTTGAGGATATTGAAACAGTATTTGTGAAAGCTATAGTTGTAGTTGCATCAATAGTTGTTGTGGTGTCAGGTATAGTTGTCGTTTGTGCATCAGTTGTTGACATTCGTGCTATAGTCGTTGGTGCTACAGTCGAAGATGTTGGAGGGGTGCTTGTGGAAGTCAAAATTGTAGCATCAGTAGTTTTTGTGTTCTCAGTCAGAGTTGGGGTTGCTGAATCAGATATTGTTGCTGTTGGTGCCGCAGTTGAGGGTGTTGGAAAGGTGGTTGTGGTAGCCAGAGATGTTGTTGCATCAGTAGTTGTTGTGGTGTCAGGCAGAGTTGTGGTTGATGCATCAGTGGTTGACATTAGAGGGGTGATTGTGGAATCCAAAGTTGTTGTTGCATCAGTAGTTGTGGTGTCAGACAGAGTTGTAGTTGCTTCATCAGTTGTTAAAATTGGTGTAATACTTGACGATATTGAAACAGTGTTTGTGAAAGCTAAATTTGTAGTTGCATCAGTAGTTGTTGTGGTGTCAGGTATAGTTGTGGTTGCTGTATCAGTTGTTGACATTTGTGCTGTAGTTAAGGATTTTGCAGGGTTCATTGTGGAAGCCAAAATTGTTGCATCAGTAGTTGTTGTGGTGTCAAAAAGAGTTGTGGTGGATGCATCAGTGGTTGACATTAGAGGGGTGGTTGTGGAATCCAAAGTTGTTGTTGCATCAGTAGTTGTTGTGGTGTCATGCAGAGTTGTGGTTGATTCATTAGCTATTGTTGACGTTGGTGCAACAGTCAAAGATGTTGGAGGGGTGTTTGTGGAAGTCAAAATTGTAGCATCAGTAGTTTTTGTGTTGTCAGACAGAGTTGTGGTTGCTGCATCAGTTGTTAAAATTGGTGCAATACTTGAGGAAATTGAAACAGTTTTTGTGAAAGCTAAATTTGTAGTTGCATCAATAGTTGTTGTGGTATCAGGTATAGTTGTGGTTGCTGCATCAGTTGTTGACGTTGGTGCTACAGTTGAGGATTTTGGAGGGGTGGTTGTTGTAGCCAAAGATGTTGTTGCATCAGTAGTTGTTGTGGTGTCAGGCAGAGCTGTGGTTGATTCATCAGTTGATGTTGACGTTGGTGCTATAGTTGAGGATTTTGGAGGGGTGGTTGTGGTAGGCAAAGATGTTGTTGCA